CCATCATAAATATGAGATAGGCATGGCTTCTCTTTGAATTTATTCCTCTCTACCTATCCTCAGGCGCTGATTTTAGTGAGACACAGTAGAGGTTGGAAATGCAGTACACTATGGATGAGAATACCTTACGGGAGGCAAAGCTAAGCAAAATTCAAATGGCGTCGTGAGACTTACTTATATTGTGTGACAATTTTACTATTCATAATTCATAACTTTATGCGACCTAGGCTAATTATAACTCTTACGTATGGTCTACCAATGATCTCAAAACTTACTAGTTTTGAATGTATCTAATATCTGTCATTACATGCATATTTATCATTTAAATACACTATCGTCTTCTGGTAAGATCGATCTACATATCTAACAACCACCTTCACACAAGGGAAAGCCTGCTAAAAAAATGATAAATTGGAGCTTCATTGGTTCCTAGGTTACATTGATAAAGACAGAATAATTTGTCCTCATTATAAAACCAAATCGAATCAGAGTGGCAGATCGTAGGAGCTAGTAAAGTGAGGAATTACCCGTCTGAATTCAGAATTACCCATGAAGTTAAGAATACCTTGTCAATATTTCTCATCACACAAAAGGTAGCTATGCACTTTCGACGATTAATACAGTTGATCTAAATAATTTCTTCCTAAGTCACAAAATAAGTATTGACGCTATTCGCCTTTCCACAAGTAGTTCAAAATAAAAATGAATATATCCTACAGAAAATGTCTGTCCCTAGGCCGAAGCACTCACACTTAACTTAATTTATATTTTATTTTTGTAGATTTCAACATTTTGCTAAATTTATGATTTTAGGTAATTGCACTGCCTTTTAAATGTAAGGTGACAGCCAGCTTTTAAATCTTACCTATTTTCGAAATAATTTATATTACTTTTATATCTGAAAATGTTTTTTATCAGATCTTGCCCAAGAGAGCCTCATGCAAGAAATCAACACTCTAAAAGAGGCCTATGCGACGACGAGTTCTATTTCCAAACCTGGCCAGTTAGACGATTTTGCCCTCGAAGATTCGAATTCCATTTGGTCACCTGGCTTAGAAGCCTCGGAACCAGGTACTCTGTATCATAGTCCGCCTGTTGACGCTCGCCTAGAAGAAGGCAATCAAGAGTTAAGGCCTTCGCATGCAATCAACTCAGAAAATACAGTGCCGCCTTCTACTGTTGATGGGCCTGCTGGTAAATCATCTGACAGCCAATTATCGCGGGCTTCCGTTCTTTATCGGCGGCGGGTGTTTGATCAGCTTTGCAGTCACCGTTCACAATTAGCCCAATTCTATTTCAGAAAGGGGTATAAGAAGGTCAGATATTGGCTGCATGATCGTGTTTCTTTGTCTCCTATTCTTTTTTATACTTTATTTAACCTTTTTCCTCATATCATTTAGGCCATTTAACAATCCTTTGAATTCACACTGAGTATATTTTAGAAACTATCAGTAGCTATTGAATTAGAATCGCACTTTGATAAGTCTGAGCAGAACTGATAATTAATTTTTCCATAATCCTTTTAGTTACTTTACGATGTTTACTTCGTCTTTCTTCCCAAAAAGTATTTTCGT